CCAGGGCTGTGTGTCTGTCTGCTCCAGCCGCACCTATCTGGAAAACCCAGGTAGAAAGCAACGGGGGCTGACAAGATCCGTGGGCCTCAACAGGCTGTGAGTGTGTGAGTGAGTGACCATAAGCTGAACCTGGGAGCACCATGTGTAACACTTCCCACTACAACTGCATGTATTGTGACCATACAAGCTGCATTGTTCATTTTATTTTCTTACTGAAAGTTCCTGTGCCACTGCTTATTACAAAAACGGTCAACTTCATAATCTGTGTTTTTCAGGCGTTTGCAGAATTACTTCAGAGTGGCCGCTTGAAGCCGACTGGAACGGACGTTGACCCATATGAAGTGGATGGGAAAACATACCTTGCTGAAGTCTCTCATGGCCTTAAGGGTCATTACTACTGGACACCAAGTTACGGAGAACCAGATAACAAAAATGCTAATGCATCTTTAGCAATAAATCCTGTTACACAAAATTTATGAATATCATTCTCTACCCCTTGGGAGTGTTTTCATATGTGTGCCTTGTGCTTAACACATCTGAGCGCTTTCTTAGGTGTTTGTACAATAATCACTACAGGAAACCATACTGGGAAGCTGCTTTACTCCAGTAGTTGGGTCCCAATCCAGCAATAGCTATTCATAACTTTAATTTCATTGAAAGCATTGAAAATGAAGTTTCTTTTTATTCCATAGCTTTGTGTATCTGTATTGTCATTATTACAAAGATGTTGTTTTATATGATTTGAAATCTACAAGTGAACATATGCTAACTACTCTGAAAGTACTTTGGGCCATATTTCCTTGGACGTAAACCCCACTGAGTCAGTCTGATAGCTCATGTGTAATATGAATCCAATGTAAAAATGTTTAGGACTGCTTATGTAAATTACATTAATTTAACATATTTTTAAGTTAAGGCATTTTACTAAGAGTGAGAGGAGAAGCAATGCAGGATGTAATTTTTCTTTATGTACTAGGGTGAGTTTTTTGGATCACAACTTCTAAAAAATAAAATTATTTGACAAAAGTACATCTCAGATATTCTGAATAAGAACATCAGTCATTTCAGTATGAGCTACGTATGAAAAAGTCTACATTAATTTGAAAAAGGTGGCCTGTTCCACTGAAATGACAAATATATTCAAAGACAGTTTTCTGAATGATCTCAGGTTGACTGAAATATGAAACAGGCGTAGAGCACACAGGTATTGCGTTCCTAATAATTCTTCAAAAATGATTATTTTTGGACACTTCTAAGCATACATAAGTTAGATTGGGTGTCATAATGTCACAATAGGAGTTTGAGAGGGAAGGCTTCATTGGGTTGAGCAACTCCTCTGCAATTTTCCTTCTGTTCCTATAATTCCTGCTTTTTAAACAGTAGCTTGACTCTGTTCTTCACATGGACATAACTAACACTACTGCTGAATCTGCAACACTTTTGACAAACATGGGCCATTTAGCAGTGAAGGTAGAAAAGATGGCTGTGTCACCTAAACCAGTTACTTCCAAGTGCACATGGATACCCCTCAAGTAGGGTAGCCATTGTACCCATCAATCTCTTCAGGAATTACAGGTGAACTAAATTGCCCATGAGCAATTTACAACTCATCTTGTGCACAGTTATGCTACAATTTCTTAATTGTACACTTTCAGTAAGGCAATTTCCCTCAATAGCTTGGCTTCAAAGTATGAGAGCAGTATTTCAAAGCACACTAGGTATTTATTTGATTTACCACTCTTGGCAACATTATAGATGGAGTTAAAAGAAGACTGTTAACAGCCCAAACCACTCAATTATCCAATAATCCTTGCATGGTTTGTTTCACGGTTAGGTCACTGATCATTCTGGAATGAGGCCTTTTCAAATCTCTCTCCTTCCTCTTCTATGTTCTTTTGTATCCCAAGCAGTGATAGAAGGGCAGAGCACAGACGTGTTACAAAACAAGTTTATTCAAATCTAACATTAAAATATTGCAACCTATGCACATATACCCTCAGAGGGAAGTACAAAAACAGGAAGTCAGCTACACATACATATACCCATGAACAAAAAAGATTTGTAGATACATGAGAAAATATTGCAGAAATAATTTAAACCGGACAGGGTGAGTCACAAAGCTCTTCAGAATGCCCACAATCGTGCAACTGTTATGTGGCAAAACTAATAGCATCCAAGCAAGAGCTCAACATACAGATGAAGGAAAGGGCTAAGCATCCCCTTTCTTCATGAAGGCAGCATTCCACATCAGCATCAAAACCTCTGTTTAACGGCTGGTAAATCACAGCAAATAATTGGTCATCAACCAGAAGGTTATTTAAGTCAGAAATGCAACTGGGTATTCCTTTCAGCTCCCCCACAAGCTTGAAGGGGAAGCTTTATACACAGAATATAGCACACCCCTCTTTGTGACACAATCCCTACAGAATCCAGCAAATCCTTGCAGCTAGTGTTTTAATACCAGCAGAAACCATGATTTGTGAAAAATATACATTATAGCTCAACAGCCTGAGATTTCCAAGTATCACAGTAAAATCTTCAGACTGGGAAGAAGGGCTGTATATTTACTTATTGCTGCAACAGTTTTCAGCTCTCCCAGAGCCTGAGTAGTGTATAAGAAAACATGGTCTTTTAAAAAATTGTTTCATGTACAAAACACAAATAAATTGTAGAAAGGAAAAATATTTATAAATATTAAATAGTCAAATACAGTCCAATAAAAACCCAAAAGCAAGGTTTTTGGAATTCTGAAACAATGTTCAAGAATGACCCAAATCTCTTCATCTGAAATATCTATATTAAACTGTTTTTCCCAGAAGGTAGTTTGCAATGATATTATAAAGAAATATATCCAAAACTTATCTTCATATGCTTTTTTTTCCAGAGATTTTTTTTGTGCTAACAGAAGCTTAGTATCACCAGCACTAAGCAAAATTATACCACAAAAGCCTGCTTTGAATATATCAGGAAAATACCAGAAGAAAACATAACCAGCTCCTGGGGAAATGGCCAGTCCTCTCCATCCTCACAAATCTGAAAAGTAGTTGCCAAAATTCACAGAGATAGCCCTCCTTTCTCTCTTCCCTGAACTATGACCTAAAGGTAACCCCTAAATACAGGCGAACAATGCTAATGATGTGCTCAGGTGCTGGGGGGGAGGAAATAGGTACAGAAGCCACTATTAAATATGGCTTTGGACTGAAGTTCTTTAGGGCAGCAGTTTGCCTGCTGTTAATATGGGCAAAGTCTTTCACTTTATTTTTGGAAGATTCAAGGGCAGATTATTATTTTATTCAACCGGATTCACCAAGCAAGCACATCAGGCTAGGAACACGGTCTCCGAGAATCAGAGTTATTGAGTCTCGAGCTCTTCTGGTTCTGAAAAATGTGTGGGGATGCCTTTTAAATTCTTCTTTTTTCTCTCCATCCTACTCATGCCAAACATCTACACAATGGTATGGCAATTTTTGTTTGCATACTAAAAACTCCCAGATTCAATAACTGGGATGTAGCTCTGTTACCAGACAGCACACCTTGAAAGATCACTTGCCTAGAGGAATTGCAGGGCAAAATGCACAGTACATTGGCTCCTTTTAAATTATGCAAAGTGAGGAATATATTTCATTCTGCCTGAATCTGGATTCCTAGTTACTGAATTATATTTAACTTTGCATACAATACCATGCAGCTATGTAAACCTATTTGAGCAGGCACTACTAATTTTACCCAAATCAGAATTTGAATTTGGTATAGTTCTCAGAGAGATGGTACAAGTTGCTTTAGTACTAAAATTGTTATATAATCAATAATTTTACTTTTCCTATGACACAAATAATCCGTGTTTGTTGCATCGGATCAATTCATAAAAGAATGGAATCCTACTCAAACATTTCTCCATCTCTTTCAATATTCCTGGCTTGTATTTTGTAAGTTCTATGAAGAAGAACAAGAAAAGTGAGTGAAACAGCACTGCTAATAGTAACAAGTTTTTCTTCCTTGTTTCTTAGGAGTTTGAATATAACTTCACATGCTTAAGTTCACACACAGTTTTATGTCAACTTATCAGCATTTTTTTTAACATGAATTTATCAGCAATTCCTTGAGGTCATCTTCCTAGTGAAACACGAAGACAGAATTCTAGGTAAGCTGAATCTTTGGCTAAAACTAGCAGGTTAATTCTTCTAAAATGCAGAGCTCTTAAAGCATTTATTTTTTGGCAAGGAGTGATTTTAAAAAATAGTAAGCCACTTTGGCACATCATCACAGAAATACTTGGTATTACTAAATGAAAAACATAACTGCCATGAGGACTTCAAGAGCTAATTTTTTTTTTTATCATTTTCTACTCTTTTGTGGAAACAGGAAACAACCACCTCTAGAGCTTGCACTGAATTTTTGCTAAGAATTTCAACTGGAACTGCTTTTCAAGAAAAAAAAAAACCTCAATATGCCCTCAGCGGCATAAAAATGGTCAGCGTGGATACTGTATAGGCTTTTGGGCAACTCCTGTTGCACAAGCATTTTATAATCCAGCAGAAAGGATAGAACAGAGGACAGCTCTATATTTAGAAACTGGTTTGGTATGCATGAACCATTCAGAATTTTAAACTAGATGAGCACATACATTTCCATAGCAGTGATCAAATAGTTGGACAGAGAAAAGATGGATTATCTATCTTTCTCCCAGGCCCTTGGTTTTTCTGTTAGCTGTGGAAGAAATAAAATCGTTTTTCTACAACTAACATGACAGTACAAACTAACAGTCTTCTCTGAAAGCTAGTAACTTTTGTGAGATTACTGATAAAACCAGAAGAGCTTTTCTTAAATCTATAAGAAAGCCATTCCAAAATTTTCAAGCCAGGGATATCTGAAATTGGAAACAGAAGTCCTGGGACTAGGTAACTGGACTAGTTGAACAGGTAGCATGTCAGAGAAAATTACTTTGGGTGATCCTAGCTTTGAATTTTATCCCTAATACCTGAAATCTGGCTTCTAGGACATCATAATTATATTATCCCATTATCAGTAATGCCAACATGCAGCACAATCACTGATACTATCTATCAGGCTATTTAGCTGTCACAGGCAACTTTGCAAATTTCATTTTAGCCAAGAAATTCATCACATGGCCTACATAGCAGTCATAATTGCAGCTTTCTACATCCAGTGACTTAATTGCTCACTAGGACATGTCTCTGCCTCCTGAAGACATGACATCTTCCTTGGATAGCATCCTCTGCCCCAAGATCCTCATCTTCCACGACAGAAAAGTTGACATCTTGAAAATGGGACAGCTCCCACATCTTGTCCAGCAGCATCCAGTTGTACCTGTAACACTCCACGGAACACACTGGACAGCCGCTGCACCTGCATTGGCTATTTTCAGAGTGGTTTTCAATTATTGTTGGGTCTGTTTACTTAAAAAACTAAGTCATTTACTGTTAAAAGAGACTTCTCTATCTCAGTTCAGTGTTTTCACTTTGAATACCTTGACTACAGATAATTAGTTTCTGCATGAACACTGAAGGAGCTTTCCAGCGTTAAATGATTCAGAATTATTAAGGCAGATGTTGAAGGAAAAAGATTATTTATCTCCTAGAAAATGCAATCTTGATTCTTGCAGGTGAAAATACACAATCTTTGTTCTAGAGTAATAAAATATTAGAGAAAAGCTGAATTTCACAGCAAAGATGCGCACCCAAAGTCCTCAGTGGAAAGTGAGATGAAATCTAGCTCACCCACAGCTCCTTTTTATCAGAGATGCTTTCGTTTCTAGAGTTTTCATCACACGCACGTGTCAGTACAATTGTTGGAGGAAAATAAACTGAGGTTCTGAATATCCAGTGATGGTGGATCTCAGAAGTGTGTCAGATGGTGGAGACTGACTATCTGTGACAGGCAGCAATACCTGGTGGTCCTCTGTTCCAATGGGTAGAGGTAATGCTATATCTGAAGGCTTCACATCAGCAGACTCCAGCAAAAGGCTTTTCTCACTTGGAATTGAATCTTGCTCACTGAAGGAAGGGTCAAGTGCAATGGAATCCAGTGGGTTCTCAGAATCTGGAACGTCAAACAAAACTTAAAAGAATTACTCTTGAAAATAAAGACCTATTAAATATGTGCCATGTAACATGGACCTGAGGAACGCAACAATTAGCTTCTAGATTTATACGAATATTTCAAAAAGTTGTTTCCCTTTCTTTCCCAATAAACCTCCATAATACTTAGCTAGCATAGCCACTGGCAGTAATGAGAATTAGACTGCAACATATGAGAGAGAGAGAGAGAGAGAGAGAGGGCTCCTCCTCCTGTTTTTCCCCACAGCCACATCCCTATGGGAGAGGTTGGGTTGAGAGAGTGACTGGCTCAAAATCACTCAGGCAGCTTTGGTGGTGCAGGACAGACTAGAACTTGGAGCTCGCTGGTGCCAGTCCAAGACCTTAAGCACTGCATCACACTGGCTCTCTTTTTAAAAAGGCATTACTTAGGAAAGGCTCTTCATCAAAAAGACGATCTACTAGAATAGTATAATTTTCCCTATGAATGAATTGAAACTTTCCACTCTTACAGGCTTTTATGTATTCAGGGCAATGCACTGTTAATTTGAAATAAAACTGGAGTTTGAAATTCACATTTCATTTTCAAGGGTTCCAGCAACACGTCATAATGACATCCTCAGTTTCAAGAAATAATTACAAAGGGGTGGCAGGAAGATAAAGAATTTTAAAGCAGTATATCTGAACAGTAATGATCTCTTCATGGAGAAATTGGGCCTTCAAATCTCTCAATCTAAAAGCCACAAATGTATGTAGTTGTGTTTGTCTTCTGCAACTTTACACAACACCCAGAAAAATACCCAAGGACCCATAACATAGCTGGGGGGGGAGGGAGGAGCAGGAGCATGTCTGACACAAGCATCATCACAAACCTTCCAAGTCCACCTTGGGATACACACTGTCATTGTCTCTACCTCAGTTTTGAGGGTCTGGATGTGAGGAAAGCTATGTTGATGCTACTACCTGTCTTGAGGGGGAAATGCCCCCCCCCCCGCAAATCTGGATGGGCAAAACAGGAAAATCTTCTTCCTGAAAAAATGGCTCCAAGTTTTCTTTTTTAACCAGCGTTATCCTGCCCAAGTGCATCTCGAGTATGCGATGGTAATATGGAACCCAGCAGTGGAATAATGGATTTTTGTAAGAGCAATAAAGGAAAGACATGATGCCAGTTTCTACAAGTTACATGAGATTTGAGCCCTGCATTAAAAAAGCTAGCAATCATTAACCTGAATAAACAGTATAGAGGGACAGGGGAAAAAATAAATCTTTTCAACTATGAAAAAGCAGCACTGAAAAGAAATAACACCCCCTGATGCAACTCACCTATACTTTCCCTGCCCATTTATCTTACTGGTTCCAGTTCTCCCATAGTTTTTGGGCAAAGATAATGAGTCCTAAGCCAATCAAACAATATTTATATTTATCAAGATATTTTTAGAACAACTTTTCTTAATTCAATATTTTCATGAATATAAGAGAGCAAGTATAATACAGAGATGTAATATCAGATCAAAAATGTCTTACGAGCTAGGAAGTTCACTGACAGCTTGTGCCAGTTGCTATTATCTTAATGTAACCAATTTCAGAACAATTTTGTGAAGATAATGGAGTAAAGGGAGGACCTGACATACCACCCTGAGTTTGTCATAAGAAAAGCCAAATATAAATGCAATAAATTGCACTTTTTAAATTTATATTACAACTTTTCATCACTGGATTCCACTGGGGCTGCTCCTAGACTTCTCCCACCTTTAAGACATTTTATGTAGGGGTAGATTAGTGATAAAAATGCCAGGACTCTGCTACAAAGATCCATCATTTTAGTCTGTTAGCTTACAGGACTGATGTATAGATTTCTCTGCTTTGAACAGAGACTACATAAATGCCTTATGATCTAGGCTTATACAAGCACCAGATATTAGTTTAAAGTAAGCACTTACCTGAATGAACTTTCAATTTGTGTTTCTTTAGGTTCTTGATATCTGTATAGGAGTTTCCACACAGCTCACAGATAAATGGTCTTTCACCTTAAAACAACATTTCTAGTCAGACTCACTAAATTCCAGACAGAATAGGAAGGGGGATGAAATCACCCTTCAATTAACAAATGAGCAGTACTATAGCATTAAGCAACACTTCATGTGCATGTAATGGATTTTGCTAGGAGTCTCATGCCTGAAATTTTACCTGTATGAGACCGGAAGTGTTTGTTGAGTTCTCCTGAAGAAATGAAGCTTTTGCCACAAATGCCACATATATAAGGTTTTTCCCCTGCAGAGAAAACAACGATTAACTCATAATCTATTGACTGACAATGTACATAAAGAAATAAACTTGCCAATGCATGGATACGATAAGTTATCAGAAAATGGTGTCTTCCACGTACATTCTAAAGTAGGCAATATAGTCTATTTATGATACATAGAGCTGTCTTAACTAGACTTTTGGTCCCAAAACTTCACTTGTTCTGTTATTTAGCTGCATCTTAGCTTTGATTGTTCCATGATACGCCAACTGGAACTGCCTAGAACAAGGTTCCCCAAAGTGTGAATATTGACCCCCAAAGGTTGATGGAACTATCCAAGTGGTTGATAAATGGCTGAGGGTCAAAAAGGGGGTCAATAATTGGCTAGGGGTCAACAGGTGGTCAATAAATGATGGAAGGTCCATTTGGGTCAATCAATCTTTTGGGATCTCTACAGAGCCCCATGCCAGTCCCTACAGTTTCAGTAAAAAAGGTATGTTAAATCTTATATATTTCATATTTTAAGTATTACCTATTTTTATGAACTTATTATTATTATTATTATTATTATTTGTAGTATTATTAGTTAAAGTAGTATTTATTAAATTATTTTCATATAATAAATGCTTGGGGGTCGATGAACAATATGAAACTTCATGAAAGGGTCGATGAGCTGAAGAGTTTGAGGATCTCTGGCCTAGAATTTTATACATGGAAATAGTACACATTATCACTGAGTTCTGCTATACGCTTTAAACTCTTTCACTTAAAATCCTGACAGATATTTACAATTAAGGTATCATGGTCTAACCTTTTCAGATTTAAGCGAATTCAGGCTGGCATGGCTGAAAACAGTAAGATGAATGATCATGGTTCTTTCTGGTCAGAAGACAACACAGCTTATCTACTGGGGAAAAAAGTTAAATCTTTCTAGCCTGTTATACTTTTCTATTGAGTGCAAAAGCCACATGAATCCATGTTTTGCCTTTCAACATCATTCTTTCATCTTTCATTTTCATAGCTATACCAGCCCAGTAAGACCTCCCTAATTCATTTACTTCAGAATTACCTGTATGTTTTCTTGAATGAGTGATGAGTGAACTTGAGACTGCAAAAGTTTTCCCACAGGTATCACAGACATAAGGCTTTTCTCCTGTGTGTCGCCGCACATGATATGTCAATGTGCTTGCTTGTGCAAATCGCTGTCCACATCGATCACAGACATATGGCTTCTCTCCACTGTGTTTTCTAAGCAAAAAAAATATATATATATATATATATATATGTATATATACTATCAGTGAACCAGTGGCTTTTCAGCAAACAACCTCCTTAACCAAATTTCAGGTGATGCTCTTTCACTCACCTAGCATGAATTTTTAGATTACTTGAAGTTGCAAACTGCAGATTACAGGCATCGCACTTGTACGGTTTCTCCTCTCCATGATGCATACGGCTATGGAAAACAAGCTGGCATTTCTGAACAAAACCTTTGTCACAGAGTTCACATTTGTATGGCTTTTCACCTGCAAAGGAAACTAAGATGTTACTTTAGCAATGCCTTCTGAAGGATTTTTTTTTCATTCTGGACATAGAAAAAGGAACTGTGGACAAAGACAGGGAGATATGGCAGGATTTTATAGAGTGAGCAGGACTCCATCTGGTGACATTGTCCAGACCCTAGGAGATTTGTCCAGAAAGATAATCCATCTCTTTGGCTGATAAAGCTCCCCATTACAGCTTAATGGCAATTTGATAAAACCTATCTACTGTAGTAACAGATACAATGGTGAGATTTTTCCCCAATTATCTAAAATAAGGTAGCTGTAACTGCCCATATAATGCTGGGAAACTTTTTGTCACAAATTAACTCCTTGGCAAATGTTCAGGAGTTCTAGTACTGTCTTTCTGCTTAATTAAGGCTTGAACATTTTTAGACACTGTTTACCCATTGAGTAGGAAGGTGTGTGTGTGTGTTCCTTTCATGATTTCAGCAATTGTTTACCAAGCCATATTTGACATTCCACGTTGCACCCTTATACTGCAAAGACAATTCAGACCACCACAAACATTTATTTGTTAGTTCTAGAAGATTTCATGGGAAAAAACTCTTTAGAAATATATGACTTAATTGTCACATACCCCTCCCCAAAAAACCAATGAAAGGAATTGCGACAAGCTCATACTATTACTTATGATGATTTTAAATACCGTACATAGGAGCCACATACTACAGCTTCCATAGCAAACACATTTTAAAGCCTGCCAGAAAAGGAAAAAAAAAACCCTTGTTGTGGGTTTCTTTTGCAGCAATTGGTCTGAAGGATTTCACAAGAGTCTTTTTTTGATGAATTGGAAGCTTATTGGTTTACATTCAGTGTGATGCCAAAGAAAGATTACTTTCCTCACCTCTCCTTCCTCCTAGCTATCTTCAGCTTTTAGTTTTAGATCCTGGGCGTCTGCCCAGCTTAGCACCTGGCAAGTCTTTCCAGCCAAGCAACATGACCTTGGATGTCTTCCCAAAACACTGTCTGTAAAAAATGCCCCCTTCTTTCCCTCTCTTTCAGTTCAGAGAGAGAGCAAAGAAGGACATCGCTGTATTCCTTTCCTGTCTTTTTCCTTCTCTCCTAGGAATATATTTCCTGGCTTATCCCCCTTATTAGGGACTCCCTGGCTTAGCATTTAGCCTCCCCTCCCCTTGTCCAGCCCTTGCAGGTTACTATCATGACTGGAAGGCAACTGTTTGGGAGCAAACTTGGCAGGACCAATATAAGGGCTCTCTCTCTTTCCCCTTTTTACCATTCTTTTACTGCTAGCTGCTGTGGCTCTGGCTGATTTGATGGCTGGGCTGGTTTTGTGGCTGCTGCTTGGACCAGCTCAGGAGCTGGCACTTAGTCACTGTTCTTCCCCACTTGGCAGGACTTTCCAGCTGCCAATACCAAGCAGAACAGGAGTCTCTCTCCTTGACTGCACAGGACTGGTCACTCACACTAGTCAACCTCCCTGGAAGTCTGACCCCTGCTTCAGTGGGTTCCATCTTTCTGGTTTCACCACAACCCCTGTAAATCTCAGCTGCTGCTTCAAAGCTGAGCTGCCAGGCCTCCCTCTGGAGCCTCTGGTTGCTTCTTCCTTCTGCAGCCCTGCAACATAAAAATGTATGTACTCCTTTCTTCATCTGAGTCTTCAGTTTTCTTCCAAAGCTGAGACCTCTTCCTCAGTGTTCTTCAGCATTCTTCCATTTGCTCTCCTCCACACTAAGTCTTCAGCCACCTCTATGCCAACACTTGCCACATTATGCTATCAATGCACCCCCACTTTGCCATTCCAACTCCCCTGGAACTGGCCTTTTTAAAGCCTTTCTGTCTCACACATGCCCTGCCCAGGTAAATGTTTATGTACAAGGCAAGTAAAGGGTGACTCTGCAGGGGAGCAAAGGTGCTTTCACTCAACTGTCTTGTCAAATAAACTATGACATTCTCTAATGTTTTTATAATTATGGCAAAAACAAGCCTACAGCTTATATCAAAGCAGGTCTAGACCTTCAATCAGAACTTGTGCACCATCAACGAGAAACCATTTCATTCAGTAGGATCTGGCAGAAACTCTAACCGCTTTTTTGTAATGCCACCAGCAGCATGGGCATTTTTCGCTTTACTTTTCCTTTATTCACTTGAAAGCACTTTTATGTTGTCACTATCTGAATAGCTCCAGTGAGAAACAAGGGCTACAAACCCCAAGCAAAGGATAAAATATGGCTACAGCCCACAAATCAGTACACCTGTACCAGAACAAAAGTGATACACCTTCTCCAAATAAGAATCTTATCTTCAGATAAGTCTGAAAATGCCCAGAACTAAGCTTTCTGCTCACAAAGTATATTTTATAAAACTAATTATCTCTCCTTGCAGTTTATAGAAACAAGAAATACTGATTTATGTAGTTTGATTTGGTAGGAAATACTTGCCTCACTTGCTGACCTGAAAAAAAATAATCTGAAGATGAGGAACCTTCCTGAATTCCACTTATATTACTATAACTGACCACAAGTTGGCAGAAGGGAATTTATCTGAAAGATGGGTGGCCTTTCCTGCTCACTGTGACAAGAAGCAATTCCCAAACCCAAGCAGAGAGCCTACCTGTGTGAGTTCTTACATGCGTTTTCAGCTGGTTGCACTGTGTAAATGCCTTGCCACAGAGCTGGCACACATACGGTTTGACTCCTTTGTGAATCCGCATGTGCCGTCTCAGACTACTAGATTCAGAAAACACCTTCCCACATGTATTACACACTGGCTTGGCCTTGGAGTATTTCTGATCCAGGTCTTCTCCCGAGCTCTCCAACTGATATGAGTTCTTATCACTGGTAATGTTAGATAAGCAGTGCTCTTTCAAAGCACAATTTTGATGTGCTTTGCCCTGTTTTGGCTTCATAGCCATAGTCTGCACAAGGATCTCTTGAGCAGTAAAAGTTTCACTTTCCACCACAGGGGTAAGCTGCAGTTCAGAATTATCGCCACCTTGGGCAGCCTGTTCTGTTATCTCCGTGGCCAATTTATTTGCATCTAAAAACATCTCCATGGCAGAGTTTTCTGCAACATCACTTGGATATTGTACTGGCTTGCTTGGTGGGTGTTTGGGGGAACTGAAGGCCTTCTTTCGTTTTTTGGTTTGAACTGACTTTTTTTCCAAGGCTGCCGTTAAGACTGGAGATTGAACTATATCCACTGAAGGGGCATCTGATTTCTCCTGGTTATTGTAGTCACGTAGAGTTAGCAGGCAAGTCTGTTGGTTCAATGCAATATTCCCAGTGATACTAGAAGTTTCTGTAGAAGAAGGATTAGCAATAAAAGCAAAGTCTTCCATCTTTATTTTACATTTAGTGACTACTTCCTCCACTTTAAGGTAGTCGGCAGCCTGGTGTATTTCTTTAACATTCCAACTGCAAGAAAAATGTACCACATGAAGAAAACTGATGGCCTTAAAAATGCGTAAATATTAAATTGAGCAAATGGATACAATTTTTAAACAAGATTTTAAAAAACAAGCCTTGTGATCATATACTTCCTTTTCCTCTTCTGAAATGGCCATTACTGAATTATTAAATCACAAAAATTAGCAACATCCATAATGTTACATCATTGCTATATAATCCCATCTTATCAGTAAACTCATCTGAACTATACAGTCTAACTTACTGTTATTCAGATGATGGGCCAAATCTGATACTGGGCCTTAGCCGACATATAGTGTGTCCCAACAGAAGTACTACCAGACAAAAATATGGTAAATATTAAGACATGGGATCCAAATGCTTAGCTGGACTACAGGGTGAGTTCTAAGCCTGAAAATATTGAAGACAATTTAGCCTACATTACAAGAATGTGGTAAACAGAAAATAATCACCTACAATTGTAATACATCTCCAAGTAATACTAGCTGAATTATTCTTTAGATTATTCTGTCACCTCTGTGAGAGGCAGGGTGGTGTAGTGGTTAGAGTATTTGGACTAGGAGTGGGGAGATCCAGGCTCTAGGCTGCCCTCAGTCATGGAAGGTCATTTAGGTGACTTAGGGCAGCTTCACATGGTTGTCTTTGTGGGAACAAATAGGAGGAGCAAGCATTATATACAGCTTCTTGAGCTCCTGTACAAAGGCAGGCTATAAATCTAATATATAAATGAATAATGAGAGGTCTCATATCTAATTCCTAGTAACAAGCTGTTGTCATACAATCCGTTAAGTTCTGCTAGTTATAACACTTGAACTCAAAAGACATTTTTTCCCATTTCCTTGCTTTATAGTGATTTTTTAAGTATACCACTCATACAACAGAGGGTCAAAAACTCTGCACCATGAAATGAGGAGCCTGCAAATTGGATTAAATTAATCACCATGTCACACTGCACATTATCTTGCACATTCTAGTTTCCTCTTCTGTTCCTGCCTGCTTTATGTTTGTGACATCTTAATTTACACAGTAATTTACACCCTAAGCAAGGGCATTCCCTTTAGTTCTCAGTCTAGTATTTCTTTTAAATACTAAACAAATATCCAGCCATACCTATCAAGGTTTAAATCTCCTGTGTATATGAATTCCAAAAGTTTCTGAAATCCATCAGCCTTCACTTGATTCTGATCCAGAAATATGTTACTCTCTGAGGTATCCCTGTAAAAAGCCCAAAAGTACTCGCTAAAGGATGCCAGAACATTTCGATGTGCTTTGAATTGGAATTCACCAATAATGACGGTGCAGTCACAAAGGAAGCCCACTTCACGCTGCCTGTTCAGACTTTCCAGTAGGTGCTCACAGTGATGGGAACACTGCATTTTGCGTAACGATGCACAGTTTATTCCTTTTGGCCTGAGAAGAAAAACAAACACATAAGCATCAGGGTGCCTAGTTCCAGCAGAATAAAGGAAATAACCGCACTCAAAGATTTGCCTCTCCTATTTTTCCATAATTATTTAGACAACAGAATTTAATGGCTGTGAAGAAAAGCACAGCGTTCAGACAAAAACTCTATTTTAACCGTCAAATACAACCCACAGTTACTATATCTCCCAGAAGCATATGCTGGGGAAAGATGTTCTAGAAAGTATGAATATTCCCTTTCCAAAACTAGTGAATTTAAATCACAACAAAAAGGAAGTAGGTTAAACATTATGAAGAACATAAGGAGAGACGTTGAAAACTGGACTCTCCTTTGGTTGCCAACCAGAGGCTGAATCAGATTGGTGCCCTGTCAGATTCCCTGCATCATCAGAGCAGGTCTTCCTACAACCCCATGCATGCAGATTTGGCAGAATACATTCAAGAAGCCAAACTTAAGGATGTATCCCAGTTGTGGAGCCCAACTGAGGGTCTTCCCAGGAGTTTATGCAAAGCTGATCCTACGGTGCTACCAACTGCCTTTGTGTTTATAGAACAGAGCCACGTAGAGATCCAGACTCAAAGGGCAACATGTGGCTTGGAGGGCCAGCAGGCACAGGATGCACCGAGGGAGTCTGTGTTGGTGTGGAGGGTCGGACCAGAACTGGAGAGACCCAGATTGACGCCCCCTCCCCCTCCCCCTCCC